AACAGTATGAGCTATGCACATGTAAAGAATAAACTTATAGTAAAATCTTTCATTTGTAACTTTGTGCAGTAATAGTAATAGAAATACAGTAAATATATCATACTATCCTTTAACCATATTGTAAGACAGGAAAACGAACATGTTTCATACAATTATACTTCCTCAGAAGGTATGGAATGAGTACCAGAAGCCTGAAAGAAGAAATGCTGTAGCTGCCAAGTTAACAAAATCATCTCCATGGGGGAGATTAGGGGATATATAATCAAGACAATCCAGGAACACCTATTTACTACCATGTTCAAAAAGCTAATCCTTCTTTCATGGATCCATGTATTTTTTTGGGATTCTAATAATTGATGGGGTCCCAAATGTAATAATTTATGGATCTATATCGTTTTTTAGATTCTAATAATTACTGAGGTCCCAGAAGCGTAAGCATAGCACCTCAGCAATGTAGCAAATGAAGGGGAGAGAACAATGTTCTTGGACAGCTTACCAGCCAGCTTGCCACCTAGCAAATTAACCTGTCTAACAGTATGCGTTTATAACGGGTTTAGTTAGCACACATCTGCAAATACATGCGTAAGCCACAGAGCCACGTCACGGCACCCTGATAAAATGTGGTCCTAACTCTACAATTTCTGAGAGCCCCCATAGTAGAGGCACATGTATTTAATAGATAGATCAAGGGCAGGTGGACCTGAGGGAGCCCACCCCTCAGCAATGTAGCAATGACACACAGATGCAGGTGTTTGTTCTTTCTTCTTTCCAGCCTGGCATACAAGACACCATATTTTCCTTGATACGAGGCTCTTCTCTGCCATGGAATCTAGCTAGTGCTTTGCTTGGGCACAGGAGATATTAATGATTTGTGACCTTTCTTGGCATGGACATTTAGACTCCATTGATTTGTGAGCTCACCATTTTAGTTATGATATGTATATATTTGTATTTTCCAACACAGGCATTAAGATCTGCTCTCTTGATTTACTTATGGGATCCCAAATTTATTAAAACTTTTCAACTTCACACTTTGTCCTTGGTACATTATGAGGTGCTTTTCTCACCCTTAGAACCCCATTGATTGCTAGGCTCCATAAAACTTCATAGATCCATGAAGGAAGCATTATCTTTTTTGCACATGAAAGTGAACTGGTGTTCCTGGATGGTATTGACTCCCTATGATCTACCTCCTTGGGGACTATTTTTGCATTTCTTTCAGATACCTGATCTATTACTTCTGATACTTATCCCATACCTCCTGAAAAAGAAAACGTGCAAAATGCTTTCAGGGGGTGTTGTTTTTCCATTGCATAATATGGTTAATGGTTAGTATAATGTATTTAATGTATTTCTATAGTATAATCTGAATGGTTGGCAATATGAGAGAACAGTGGTGATAATAGGACACCTGTATATGGGGACATATGTAAGATTACATCACAAGTTAATTCTTTACATATGGTGTAGCCAATGCTTTTTAATGTATTCATATTTTATGTTGTGTTAACATATGCCATGTTGCTGAACAGCCACATGTTTCATGATACTAGCCATTACAAGCTGAGTAGAGGTCCAACGCATATGGAGTTAATCAGACAGAAATTTAGCTGTATATACAGAAATATCCCCTGACATATTCACAGCATTGTCTCTATAGGTGTCTGCTATATGTTACCCAGGAAAGGCCATGCACCCTTGTAAACCTGATTTCACTCTGTTTGGTTCCAGACCCTGGCTACCTGCCCTCTCCTTGTCCAAAGAGTTTACTAATTGGCAAATAAGCTTTTTCTGGAGAGGGAGATGGTGGTTTTTGTTTTGTGATACTGGGATTATTAGATTGATCCTTAGAAATCAGAGAAAATTCAGAATCAGAGACTCACACAGAAGAGGCTTTTTTTGCAAACAAAAGGTAATACTAGTCACTTTGTAGTCTCAGCCCTTGGACTGGACTTTTATAAGAATAAGTGGCAAATGTGCTTGCTTTAACATAAACCTATTGAGATTTCTTTTTAACTTTACTTACAGTGGGCAGTGGACATTTCCATGTGCCTCTAAGCCATATCTTGTCCCTTTTCTTCTACACCTGCACCCCTGAAACCTGAGCCGCAAGCAATGATCAGCTTGCTGGTTGAAGGTTCTTCCCCTACAATTTTAAATCCTATATGCTGTTTCATTGGCTAGGATTGCCCTTTAAATTGATGGCCCAATATAAGGCACATAATATGGTAAGGAGGCAGAATTACAGCTAGTGACATGAAAACTGGTTGGTATTTGCACCCGGGGTTGCAAGAGTGCTATACAGGGGACCAGAAGCAGTATACAGGCACCTTGAAAGGGCCTACCAATAAAAGTCATTAGGCTTTAAAAAATCCTTACATGTACCCTTTAGGCCTACCAACTAACAAATGAAGTTCTACCCTTATTTAAAGTACAACTAAATGTTTCTGTATGTCATGCTAAACATGTATCCAATCCAGTTATTTTGTGATGTCTATGCCTCTTAAAGCAAAAACTTTCTTTACCCTCCCTGACTGAGACAAATCTTCCTTCATTTTGTGTCTCACATGGTCTTAGACAGTTCACCACAGAGGCACAGCTGCCAATCCATAAGGCGGGCAGGACTAGGTGTAGCTAGCTACTGATTGATTAGCTAGAGGCTTGTAAATCAGCAGTGACGATTTTGATAGCCATGCCCCTGCTGCATTTTTACATCACTCTGTATTTCAAGCATGAGAGTGGCAACACTAAATTATGGCAGCTGCCAAGAGGGAAAGATCCCCTGCTAGCTGTCACATCGGGGGATCGAGGGGGAGGGGGATGGCGGTGCGGTTACATATTACACCCGTAATATGGATGTAATATACAAAAAAGTGAACTTATCCTTAAATTGAAGTGAATTCTCTGTGAAAGGCAACATAAGCTCACAAAGATAAGTGGTTATGTAGTAATACAATAAATAAGGTCTGGGGGAAACAAAGCTGAATTTTAACTCTACCAGTGTGTACAGGTATATGGTCTCTCCATTTCCCTGCTGCACCCTTATGAACAATAACAAGAATCAAATCCAAAGTAGTTTACCATGTTAAATTGTCATAGCTCTCTGGAACAGTTGCTATAGCTATATGGTTTTGTGCACAAAAAAGATTTCACCAGAGTATTTACATTTAAGTGTGGTGTGGTTTTAAAACTTGAATTCAGAAGCATTTTTATATATCTTAGATCTTAAATTAAACCTTTCCAAAGAGAAACATGGAGGCTTCCATTTCTGACCAGAAAATTCTGAAGGAAACTGAAGAGTCAGCATGGCAACCAGGCAACTAGAATTTGTAGAATGAAAAGTCAGCAACAGCATGTCTCCAGGTTTCTACCAGGAAAGGTCTCCTTTAAAAAGAACAGACAAAAGAATATAAAAATTCTTATGGGGAATGGTATAAAAATGTGCCTCTTATTTTAAAAATTGTTGCTATGCCGTTTATAGGGGCCAGGCAGGCACACCTAAAATCTTTAGTTCATTTTAAAGTGAACTTTAGTGGATCACTTCCCAGCAAGCACAGATATACCTTGTAGCATATTTAAAGGGAATCTACAGTATATACCATTTACATTTTCTCCTGAAATATATGTGAAGGCAATCAGTGTAGGATATCTAACCTTATCAATCTGTATCAATATTGTGTTACATGTATACTTTAAAATGAGCAGATATGGATGCCGTCATGCCAATTATCAGTATAAACACGGGTTCTGCTTTCTGCTTAGTAGTGCTGCTTACCAGTAATGTCTTCTCATTCTGGGGACTGGAAAACAATGCATTATTTATAGTATCTCTATGATATGTGTCCATAATTTTCTCAGTTGGCAATGCTAAGTATATGCAGCAAAATAAAGATAGAAGGCAAATTTTATAAATCTGTATATGTAATGCAGTAATGAAAGTACTGTGTATCAAGGATGTAAAAATTTGAACATTGCAATAAATACTACTTTATGGTTTACATTTCAATGGCAGTTGACTATGTGACACCTTTAACTTAGCTTCAGAAAACTTTTGAATGGCTGGTTTCTTCTCCAAGCATAGCTAAACAAACAATGAAAAAGTAGGTAGATTTTCTTGGGTACTATGATGGTAAGATATCCTCTCCAGAATTTACAACTCTGCTGTCTCTATCATAAAACAAACAGAGAGTGTATCACTCTCTCTGGTAAATTTTTCATTATATAAAAGTATAAGCAGATCCCAGCAAGTGTGACATCCATCTAATGGCTTAGGCTGCGTTTGCACATTTGGAACTGTAAAGGATACATTTACCACCGGGGTACCTGAGAATTATAAAAAGCAGTTGGGTTATACTAAATAGATACTCACCCAATAACAAAATATAATTTTGGGTGGATTAATTTATTAAGAAATGCAAAAACTCTTGGGACAAGACATTCCAAGAATTTGCAGATTTGTTCTGTGATGTTATCATGCTCACATACTTGGGCACAAAGCACTTATAATAAGTGTTAATGAGCACTTCTCATTTTGGACAAGTCTGCCCTTAAATTTTTCCATATGAACATTTTAATCCTAACCTGAGATCCCACCAACAGCCTCACAGAGCAGATCTATAGAACACGTCAACTCAAAAATCTTAAGTGGGTAAACTAAGATATAAGCTCTTGGGAAACCAACAGGCTTATTTGTGCAAAGTGCATGCTTTCTGTGTTTTTATTTTACTGATCCAAAAATGACCTTTAAATTGTTTTATCTCATGGCTTTGCAACAATGTATCACAAACAGCAAAGAATCCCATGACCAGACAAAGTATAGTTTGCACATGTACAGTATGACTTAAAAATACCAGATCAAAGGCTTTTAAGAAATAGTTATCTTTGTAGAAAGTTCTCATTTGAAATAATTATACACTAGTATAATTATTGTAAATAAAACAATGCCATCATTTGTAGACTCTTGTCCTGTGCAGTATTAAGTTCTCGGATGGTTTGGTGGCTTATTGGGAAACTTGTTGTGCTGGGTTCTCCGATTTGGTCTCTTGATTTACAGGTGGTTTGCTGTTCCAAGGGCTATTGTTTCCCAGTGCGGGAGAGTTGTTGAAGTCTTCTTCATCATCCATACCATTAGCGGCATCATATTGTGTGTTTTCTAGTCTAGTGATAAGCCTTTCATCTTCATCTCCAAATTCGCCTCCCATCAATGTTGGTTCTCCTACCACCATCACATCCTGTGAACAGCACAGACCATTATTATGTGGGTACCTTGAGGAAAGACAAAAAAAACTACCGATGACTGAATGTGGGAGTGGAAGAATACTGACTTATAAAAGAACAAAGGCATTTAAAATGTAACAAATTAGATTTAATATGAGTAGGGTCTGTGACCAAAAGCACAAAGCTCCCTGTTTTTACATTCAGCATTGGCGTGACTATGACTCACACTGCCCACACAACTACAGTCATATATTGCTTACGGTAGAGGAACTGTCTGCTATTGAAGACAATTATGATGGATTGTGCTGTAATCTTACATATGCATTTATAGCTAACTTTGTATTCTATTACCTGCATTTTCCTCAGCAAGAATGATCAGTGCATCACATGACATTAATAATACTTTATGCTTTAAATGGTTGCTCAGCAAGCTGTATTTTTAAAGAAGTTTAACTGATGACACAATCCAGTTGTGCAATGCCTAAGTAAACAGTTATGCTATTCGGTTCCTTTCCTGGCTTAGGCCTTTAGGAAGAAACTTTGTTTAGTTTGCACCTTGCAGAATGGGTTATGAAAGCCAGGGCAATGAAGAATAAAGCAAAAGTAGAGCTGTTGCTCACAGTAGCCTAGCAATGCCAGAGTACAGAGTAGGATACCTGATTGATTGCTATGGCCTACAGGTCCGCATTTACTACATTTTTTTCTACTCTTTTTATAATTCAGCCACTCTATCAGCATTCTCCTTGCTCTTTTCTGGTCTACCTTAAATCTCCAGTGTTGGGCAGGAAGCAATAGGGTATTGGGGGGACCAGTGAACCCCAAGACATGCTGTTCCAGGAAAGGGCTTTGGTGCTAGTTTTAGCTTTCAGCAACCTAGGCAGCAGGGAGGGCTAGTGGACCTAAAGGCGACTTTCAAATTGAGGTTTAACCCATTCTGCTCTATGTTTTTTACATCACAGCAACTCACAAATCCATTTTTAATATCTAAGCATAAGTCATGATAGCTTTCTATGACTGGATGCTACTGGTTGTTACACTTCTTGAGTCTTTATCATTAAAAGGGTGTCCAATACAAAATACTCAGTTTTAAATAGAAACTGGCACATGGTTCGGGGTAGATCCCTCCAACAGATATGGGTTACTACCTTCAGCCCAGCTGAGGTACATTTAGTTAATATTTCTGCTAAATTGTGATAGCACCACCTTCTGCTGGATCATCTGCCGGCATGTGAAGTAGACAGCACAGGTTGACTTCCATCACTGTTCTGTATAATGTGAAGCTAAATATATGACAACTTAGGTGGAAAGTGTAGCCAGAATTACGGGAGGGGGGGGGGGGATAATTTGTTTTCTAGGTTTTAGGAGAAAATGGTGGGTGGTTGACCCTGCTGACATCTACCCAAAGCTAAGAAAGACATGTACCCAGAGATGAGAAAATCTATCAGACACAAAGAAAAGAGTTGTAATTGTAATGCATCCAATACAAAACCAGTCTAATATTCCATGATAATTCCACTGATTTCTCAATAATTTAGAAATCAATATCACTAATGATTGTTTAAGTAGCAGGACTTGCCTACTGTAGGGGAATTAGCATGGAATAGTGACTGGTTTGGCATAACAGGCCCGTAATGTTGCCTGGGCCTATTACTTACCAAACCGTTCCGTATTCCACGATAATTCCTCCTGACCCGTGTCTTATCGCCTATGCATTTTTTTGTAGGGATGAGCTGTAAGTAAAGGAGGATTCATTAAAGGAGAAATTCAAATCAATGTGACACAGTTGCAGTTAAAACATAGAATGATATTGATGAATTAGTATGACAAAACAAAGTCACTTAATAAACATTTTAAAATAGTCTAATAATCTTTCATGAATAATATTCTAATTCTAATATTCAAGACAAACCTTGCAAAATATAGTCTTTAATTATGGCTCCAAATGAGACAGCTATGTTAATTCGTTAATATATGCATGTTATGCTTACTATGTATGACACTGGTCACAGTTTGTATGCTTGGATGCTCCTGTCAATGAAAACTATGAAAGTGTCAGTAAAAACACAATCCCTGCATCTCAGGCACCACACAGCAGGCAGCACACTCTCTATAAGTAAATGACTTTGTTAACAGTGATGGGCTGAACACCCCCGTGTTCGGTCAAACGTTCGAACCTAATGAACGTTAGATCATAAACTTCAAACTCAATGCAAGTCTATGGGACTCAAACTTGTAAATTCAAAAGTGCCCATTTTGAAGGCTTATATACAATTTATTGGCCATAAAAGGGGTATGGGGACTTGGGTACTGCTCTGAGGGACATTAATCAGTGAAAAACAAATTTCAAAAAGAACCATTTTTAAGGGGTAGTCATTTTTCATTGCTTATAGTAATTAAAAAAAAACACACTTACGCTTAACTTGAACATCGAGCCCAACACTACCTAAATGATTAAATGACTAATTAAATGACTACATAAATGATTTTAACTGCAGTTATTTAGTAAGAATGTAGATTCAGTTAATGGGCCAGTCCAACCAAAGCTGTTATCTCAGTTACTGATAGATACAGACCACCTGACAATTTATTATACCTGAGTTGAGTTCACTGTTGGCCAAATCTTTACACTTGAATGCCTGGGTTACTTACTTTGGCCATTATGACGGTTCCTATTCTTTATGTTAATTATTTTATTAATTTTACAGTTTTGAGTTTCCTTCATTGAACATGAGTTTGGTCATCTGGTAACATACATTTAAAACCTGCAATGGCAATACTATTTTAGAAAAACCAGCAAAATGCTGAACAGCATTGTCTAATTTCATAATTTATTATTGCACACTCCTAAAAGAGTAAATTCAGGGTTGTGCTATGTGAAACACTTGAATGAATGAAACACTAAGAGGCATGAGACCAAAGAGGTGTATTTACTAAAGGCAAATAGACTGTGTACTCTGCAATTGAAGTTGCTCCATGGCTTATAAATGAGATAAAGCTTCACTTTGCATAGAATTCCCAATCACATGCAAGGAAAATGAAAAAAAAAACCCAGCAGTTTTGCTTGCACATCATTGGATGATGGAAGTCAGCAGACCTTTACCAAATTTACTAAGCTCTGCATCAACTGCCCTTTCAAAATACACTGTCTATTTGCCTTTTGTAAATCCGCCCAAATGAGCACTAGGTGCATGGTACTGCTTTATGGTCAAAACTGACTGCAGGCCTTTATTAGGGAAAATACAAGATGAATACTATACCTCCCTTGTATTGACTGCAGAGCACTGCAAAAGACTTCCTACATGGAGATACTGAATCATTGGATGCTCATGTTTAGGTGGAGGGTCCACTCCGGTAGCAATACAAGTGAATAGGTTCTGCTGCATCAGTGATTAAAGATTAAAGTCCATATTGGGCATGAAATTAAACTTATTTTTCATGGAACATTTGCTGCACTGATCTATTTACCTCACTGCACTTTTTTTCTAACTTTGACAGAACACATTGCATTTTGATGCCTGTGTATACAGAGTTCTGATGAGGATCATAGCTCTAGTAGCTCTTAATAGCTGGGTAGAAAAAATAATTACAAAAAAAAAAACAAAATTTTTGTTTGCATTGTAAAATTCTTTTCCTGGAGTCCATTGGGGGATACAGGAAGTCCTAAAACTCTGTTTGTTTTCAGGGAGCAGTATAACACAAAAGTCTAAGAATTCCTGTGTCCCCCCAATGGACAATAAAGAAATTAGGATTTTTGTAATTATCATAAAATCCTTTTCTTGGAGTCCATTGACGGACACAAGAATTCTTCAAATTTTTAGTATATGTAAAAATCCTCCTGCTCTGCCAATAATCCTACATATGCCAGAGTTGCAGCAAGCACCTAACTGCAATCCAAACAGTGAAAAGACATATATTACTAACTGGTGCTGCGCTACTCAATAATAACAAAAGTGTTAACCCACAAACGTAGGTGAAAGTAAACCAATGAGACAATGAATGACATATATCAATAATAATAAATCACTGAAGCATGAAATAAATGACCTACAAATAAATATAAATATATGCTGAATATATATATATATATATATATATATATATTAATGTGATGAAAATAACTTGTGAAAAAACAACAAAGTGCAAAGTCCCAATAAATATGTGTATCTTCAGCAGAACTGTGAAACACAAACAGTGATCACTGCAAACAGATCCTCCACCGGCTAGCGTGCGCGCTCACCTCCATGGCAGAGATGAGTGTACTGCAATAGGGTGTACAAAGATAGCAGCTGTCTTCTGTAGCAGAAATGACGTCACCATGCTTCCATCCTACGCGTTACATCACGAGTCACGTGACTTCCTCAGGGCTAGCCATTGCTACTATACACGCTTTTATGGGTCTGTGGACCTGGTTTTTAATGTGAGTAGGCACTTTGCTTATTTATGTAATAAAAACTTGTCTTACTACACTATGGGAAGTCCGTTTTGGTTTAATTTTCCATGTATGGTCCATGGGAGAGGATTTTCTTGCCATATAATGGAGGAGAAATCTGAGCTGCTATTTCTGGTCCACTTGTGGAGTGTGTCACAAGTTAGCCTGCAGCCTCTTGTGTGTTTATTCTTACCTCCTTGCTGCTCTGGATTCCTTTCACATGTGTAATTTGTCTGTGCTCACCTATGGGTGTCGTCTGCTATCCTCTGGGTTTTATTTCCTTCCCTTCCATCACTTCCTGGCCCGCCTCCTAGTTTGCTTGTCTATATAAGACATGCTCAGTCCAGCCCACTTTGTCTGAGCAACTTCCTAGTTGTTGGAGCGCCCGTATGTTACTACTGTCTGAATCCTACATTGACTACTCGTGTACCAACCCCGGCTTCGTTCTCTGACCTTGCTTGTTTTCCATTTGTCCTGGCCTCGGCTTGCCAATTGGATTCCGTTTGTCTCCTCCCTTTATACTCTGCTCCCATGAGTGTTCTCCTCAACCTCAGCTGGGTGTACCTGGGGGCCGCGACTTGGTCCCAGCTTGCTGCAAGTCCATCCCCACCATCAGGGGCTCTGGTGAACAAGCAGGCTGGGGCTTAGACTCCGCGCCCTGGGGAACCCCAAGTTGAGGATCAATAAGAGCTCACTACTACAGGTGCTGACAGAGTGTTCATTTTTCCAACTAAGAGGATTGCCCTAGGTGGTGGAGGATCTGTTTGAAGTGATCACTGTTTGTTTCACAGTTCTGCTGAAGATACACATATTTATTGGGACTTTGCACTTTGTTGTTTTTTCACAAGTTATTTTCATCACATTATTATATATATACAGTATATATATATATATATATATATATATATATATATATATATATATATATATTCAGAATATATTTATTTGCTCACATATGAAAATTGATCACTATTTGTAGGTCATATATTTCATGCTTCAGTGATTTTTATTATTATTGATATATTCATTCACTGTGACATTGGTTTACTTTCACCTACGTTTGTGGGTTAGAATTTTTAGACTCTTGGGTTATACTGCCCAATATACTGACAATATAAAAATATTGTCCCTGGACTAAGCAGATTTATGTTTAATTGAAATGTGGTTTACTACTAAATCGCTTGTTGAAATTCTATATAGTATAAATAATCTAAGAAAGAATTTATTAAAATTCCAATAATTACATTTTGGGAAACCTGAAGCCACTTCTGAAGCTTCTAGAGCTTGCATTAAATAGTTTTATTTTTCTTTATTTTTAATTTTTTTTGAGGGAGGCATGTTTGCTCATCACTAATGTTGTACTACCTAATTCCTGATACTGCACAATTGCATATTACCAGTGGTTGATGATACTACTAAAGGATTATAAGCTGTTCACTTAATAAATTGAATGTCAACTTTGAAAATTGTGTCCTGTCCTTGTAGAGTGACTGAAATCAGGTGAATCAGGAATTTTGCTAGCACATGATTGGTTGATTGACGTGAGAACAGTTTCACTAAATAACTAAGCTCAGGAAACAGTCTCTACTTCTTTATTATTTCAACATCAATGACTCTAGATGGCTTATCCTTCATCGCAGTGATTTCTTTTTAAGCATCCTTATTGATTATTTTTTTAGATTTATAGAGATAGAATCTATGAATATGCACATCAAATACTATCTTACAAACATGACACAGCAAGCAACAAGTACAATACACAATGACATCACAAAATACAGACTCGTTGAATTAAATGTGAATGAGGCCCACAATGCTGTTCCCAGTTGTAGGGTCATACTGATACTTACAGGTACTTGACTTGACAAGTTGAGGCTTGCAGTTGGTTGTTTCTTCTTCGTATATGTGCTGTTTGTGTTGTTTCCTGTGCTGCTGGTGGAGTTTTTCCTTTTCCGCCTTTTGGTGGTTGTCTGTTTTGTTGGTTCTGCTGTTGGGACATAAATATCAGGAGATTCCCAGCAATTGTTTTAAGCAATTATGTACATCACAAGCATCAACGCTAATTGGTCAGCAGCTGACCGATCAGATGCCTTCTAACTCGAACTGTCATCACTGCAAGGAGAGGAAAGAATTCAAGATTTCAAATGGGAAGGCATGGGATGCCTGCAGGGAAATTTTCCGCACCACTACTGTGTGAACTCGGGCTATGATAAGCCTGGGTTCACACAGGAGCAGTGAGGAAAACGCATGCGATTTAAACAGGAATTTAATTCCTGTTCAAATTGCATGATATTGTTTGCGGTGCACTTTGCGTTCATTAACGCAAATGGCATTGCAAAGTATCAGTACTCGGTATCAGCAAGTACTTGACCGAAAGTATCGGTTCTCGTACTCGCCGGTAAAAAAAATGGTATTGGTGCATCCCTACCAACAACCTATGGGTGACATCACCGCCCAGGCATTGGAGCTGTTGTCAGTGATCTCTCATTTTCACTGATGCCAGCTACTGTGGAGATCATGTGACTGGACTGGAGCACCCAAGGAATAGGTAAGTATACACATCTTTCCTCTACGGGCTAGTTAGTATAGGACTTAGAATGACGGTGGGAGCAGGTTTAAGACTAGATAGGTTTAGAACTGACTTCTACTTTATATCAGCTGCTACACAAATCAAAAATTCAGTTTTAGGGTAGTGAGTGGAGCCATGCATATTATTCCTTTATCTTTCTAAACCTAAACTGTGTAGCACATTTTCCCACTGTACTAAATATCCCCAATGTCACCGTTTAACACCATATTAATGTAGAAAGTTATATTGCTTTTTTCAATTGTTTATACTTTGTAGTAGTAGTAGTTGTGATGTCATTGCTTGCGGTACTATAATTTGCAATGAAGTAACAACTAGATGTTTAGTGGACAGAACAACTAACTGGCTAAGCCATACCTGGTGGTGCTACCATGCGCTGCCATTTCTGGAACAGACAGGTTTTCAGGCAATCCGAGGACTTAGGTTATACGTTTTGTGTCTGGACATTAACTCTTGCATTGGCTCCAGTATTACACACAACTGAAACAAAACATAGATACATTAAATGAATTATCAGTCTGGAATTGTATACGTACACCATCAAACTGACAATAGACAATGTGTATGGGGGGATTTATAAAGGTAGGCATAGTATGAATCACATCTGCAACCTTCTTGAGATATTCAGCTTCTGCAAGAAAACCGACTTGCTGCAATCACATTAAAAAATATTCCCACCTACTTAATTTTTTCAATTTCAATACAATTGTTTATAGTTTTGGAATTAAAGATATTTTATGCATTTCATTCAGCTTTCACAGCATATCTGTGTGGGTATGTCCAGGGATCACTGGGAACCTTTGGCTTGGGGAGCAAACATAACAAACTTCAACGGTAGATTTCTGTAGGCAAAGGTTTTCATATTTGAGAAGGAATACAGCTATTGCACCCCCTCCTCCCCATTTCTCTCAGGACAGATTTTCTTTAAAGATATAACACAAAAGGAAATACTGTAGCTTTCTAAAATGACAAAGTTACTATTATATAGTAAGTTTAGCTTGTATTTGTTTCTACTTATGTTTTCCTTGAATGGTAAATGATACAAAAATTGGGAGCTTTTGTAAAGATTTCTGTTGAAAGAGTTCAAGTGTAATTCACACCCAGATGGAGACAGAAATAACAAAACAAAAATTATCTTTGGATTTAAAATGTTCCAAAGATATTCTAAATTGTCTTTCCTGCGTTGGCAGCCTACAGATAACACACTGTAATGACTGCAGTCTGCTGCCACTCTCAATCTCAGATTTTCAACTGATCACTCTGCTAACAATTGGTTTCAATGACAAATGTTTAATTGGCAAGAAGGATTGTCTTCATTCTTGGCAAAGTTTAAGGATCAACTATAGACTTTTTTGCATTTGTTAGACACATTTGTGAATCTAGCAAGCTTGATGTAAATAATATATACTATACTTTCCCTATACTATACTGCGTGTATATATATAATTATTATTTATACAGGATTTATGTAGCGCTCAGTTTGCGCAGTGCTTTACAAAATGAAGGTAGACATTACAGTTACAATACAATTTGGTACAAGAGGAAACAGAGGGCCCTGCTCGTCAGAGCTTACAATCTAATATATATACATATATATATTTTTATAGTGTATTACTCAGTGCCTGTAAAAACTCAAATAGCAGCTCTCCCTGCGGTACTCCCCTTATCTCCAGCACCATCCCCATAAACTTACTGCTATGCTATACAGTGCTGGCCTTCTTCTGGGTTAAAGGATACACTCATCTTTTGTAACATGTTACACCCAGGGGCGGACTGACCATTTGGAAACTCGGGCACTGTCCGAGGGCCCGGGGTCAGTAGGGGGCCCCATGAGATGCTCCTGGTACCTTTTTCATAGGCTTTTTTGAGTTTGGGCAAGGACACAGGGGCCCCATGATCCCCTATTGCCCGGGGGCCCCATGAGTTGTCAGTTCGCCCCTGGTTACACCCATATTCAGGGTGTAACATGTAGCATGTTACTGTAGCACCTGCCCCCACTCTCTTCAGTTTCCCTGTTGTGACAGCTATGGGGGGATCATCTCTCCCTGCTCGCTGTCACAATTCAACCACTTTAATACAGGGAACTTTCATCCATTTCCTGTCCAGACTAATTTTGAGCTTGTAACACTGTACCCATATAAAATTTGTATAATTTTTGAGACAGCGAGCGTTTTCTTTTGGTATTTAATCAGCACTGATTTTTTTTTTTTTTTTTTTTCCTAAACAAATGAAAAAAGACCGAAAAATGTGAAAAAAAACCCTTTTCTTCTTTCTGTTTTAAATGTTGCAAATAGGCAATTTTTCTTCTTCACTGATGAAGCTGCACTGATGAGCATTAATAAGGATGCAGTGATGTGCACTGATTGGCACTGCTGAGGCTGCACTGATGAGGCAGCATTGATGGGCACTGATAAGCTGCACAGTGAAAGTAAAAATATAAAAGCAACATCATAAACATTTATAAACATAAATAGTCCTTGGATGGCTCCCTTTACATGCACTGTGTGCAGAGCTGATTGGAATGGCTCTGCACCTTGTGAAAGCTGTGATTGGTCATGGAAGACACCTATCACAGTGATCACAGATTTGTCTTTACATCTGTGAGCCCCTCCTCTTCCTTCTTTACAGTGAATGAAGGGGATAAACCAGAACTAATGAATTAATGAATTATTAGTTCTTGTGACTTCAGCACAGACATGAAGCAGCTGATAAGGATCTTTTATTACCCTTTTCACTACTCCTTCCCTCCTACACACCTAAACTCCAGCTTGCCTCCCTGTGAGACCTGTATATTAAAGTAGTTGTAAACTCTTACCCAATAAAGTGACTGACCATTGGTGAAACACAAAGATAAAACAGATCCTCCTACATAAGTTGTATCTGTTTATCTGCATCACTAGCTTTTATACAACTGTTCAAAGTGTACAATTTATACAGCTTGTCTGAGATTTCAAAAAGCAGGAGACAGAGAGCTTAAGTTACATTCTGCAGAGCTCAGTGAGAGCTGATTGGAGAAAAGGGACACACCCCTGTTCCCACAGCACTCAGGAACAGAGCTGAGGCTGTCAATCACAGGCTGTATGCTGGAGGTCCCTCCCCATCACCATTTTTCTCTTGGTGTCAGGAAAATCAGTCAGAAGTGACTCATGCAGATAGCAGAGCAAAGAGGCAGCACATGGAAATGACACTTAATGCTCTGGATAGAGACAAGCACACAGTATAGAGGGATATGCTTTGTTCATATTTCATATCAGATGTTTACAACACCTTTAAACCTCACCCTCCTTATCCTGGACATTAACCCCCTGATCTCCATCCTTCCACCTCATGTGACTTGTACAATAACCCCTTCACCACCTACTCCCTCTGTATGGCCTGTATTTAGTACACCATTTCCTATATATCTAGTAATACAGTGTTTCTTTAAATAACACCAATAGAAAGCACTGTCTGTTACAAACAAATAATATAAAATTCATTTGGGTACAGTGTTGTATGATGGAGTAATTGTCAGCCAAACTATCACAACACTGGAAATTGAAAAATGGCCTAATAACAAAGAGGTAATACAGGCTGGTACTCAAGTGGTTAATGTAAAGAATGCACCTTCATTGTTTTTTTTCTTATTACATCTGTATTCATATTATGATCCTTCCAGCTATTTCAGTTTTTCCCCTTTAAGTACAGGTTCTCCGTCAGCGGTATGTGTACCCCTAGAGGTGTGTCTGACTCAGGGAGTTCTTACGTCTTGTAAAATAGACTTAAAGTAATAGTTCAAAGTTTTTGTAAATAATACATTTTATACAAAACGCATCCCATAATGTATATGTTTAGTAGTTAAAGCCCAACTCCCAGCAGCAGAAAAACACCCCTTGCAATGCTCATCACCACATGCCACAAAGGTAATATGTTTGTCTAGCAGGATTGGACCCCTCTCAGTGGCACAACTGTTTTCCTGAAGCTGCTCACCTTTTGCTGCTCCTCTGGTCAGAGGTTTTTCAGAGTCAGCAATTCTGCATTGCACATGAGAACAATGAGGCTCCGCCCACACATTTGGGTTATTTTTACCAGAGAAATGCAGCAGAATACATTTTGGCCCACATTCATGAAGAAAGATTATTAGCAAAATTTTATAAAAGAAACTAATAAAAAATTTTTTTCAAACTTTTTGGTAATTTTTCACTTAAATAGCAAAAAAAAAAAACAGTGGTGATTAAATACCACCAAAATAAAGCTCTATTTGTCTAAAAAAAAAGAAAAAAAATTTAATTTGGGTACAGTGTTGGATGACTGAGTAATTGTCATTCAAAGTATGACAGCACTGAAAGCTGAAAATTGGCCTGGGCAGGAAGGGGGTGGAAGTGTACTGTATTGAGGTGGTTAAACTATATCTTTTTTTCTTTGTAAATGTCACTTTTGCTGTAGCACATCCTAGATCAAGAATTAAAAAATTGTGTAGAGTCCCCCCCAAAATGCATACCGGACCTTTTGGAGTCTGCTAAGGATTTGAAGAAGGTAACTTTTACAAAAAAATGGAAAATAAATGTGTGAGGTTCCCCAGGAAATCCTTACTAGACCTTTAATGTAAGCATGCAGCCTGGCTGGCCAGAACATAGGTTGGGGGGGCTAACGAGTGTGCACCCCTTCCTGAACCATACCAGGCCATGTGCTCTCACCAAGTGGTTAACTCGACAGGGGTACAACACCTAGTCCCCATTTTGATGAGAAAAAGTGCCTGCCCCCCACAGTTCTGGCCTGGTGGTTGTGGAGGTCTGCAGTCAGGGGGCTTATTGGAATCTGGAAGCCCCTTTGACAATAAGTACCACCCAGATACCCCCCCCCCATGTGGATAAGATGTAAACAGTAAAAAACAAAAACACAAACACAAAAAAGCCCATGATGTACATTCACCATCATCCACATTGTCCAGCAATGTAAATCCAAACAATCACAAAGCTCCCTGAAACATGTCTGGCCCCTTCGCTTGGCTCCTGCCAAATGATGGGGTGAGTGGATGACAACTGTTATATGCAAGAAGCTTGGGGGTGTCCCAGGTGATGTCATTGACCACATATGGATATGACAATATGGTCAATGACATCACTAGGGCCCATGTCTTGGCGATTCCTCTGCCAGTCCTGTAAAGAGGATTAGGACCAAATACGGGTATGAAGACACAATTATACATAACGGCATTGATTTGTATTTGTATATTTGTTTGAGGTTTAGCATTAAAAACATACAAGGCCTCTTACAAATACATACAGTATATACATTTAGAGGGCAAAAGCAAAACATTTAGGCCTTATGCGTACTGAAGTAATGAATAACACAGGTAGCACTTTTAAGTGTAGATAGCAATGGTGTGCAGTCACCTATGAGAAACACAACTCATCATTCAGTAGCTTGTATGCAGACCCCTGGCGATGTAAATTCTTCGGGTCCTAAGGCTCGGCTGCCAAATCATCCCTTGAATTACA